CGATTCGGGAGCTGATGTCATTTGTGTACCTGAAAATATTTTCGATTGTAAAAGTAAGAAAACACCTTGTACAGAATTGATATCAGGCCCTGATGGTAAACCATTGAATTTGGTAGGGAAGATGAGATTGAGAATGTCACATCTGGAAAATACCTCAGAGTTTGATGTTTATGTTCTAAAAAATTTGAAAAAACCTATTCTAGGTAGACCAGGTATTGTAAGACTAAAGATTTTGAACTTTGCTAAAACCGTTAATGAAATTAATAGTACTCACAGGGAAATAAAGGTCTTTGGAGAATTTCCTAAGCTTTTTGAGAAAATTGGAACATTTGCTGAAGAAATTGAAATTAAATTAAAACCAGAAGCAGTACCTTTTGTCCAGGCTGCTCCTAGAGTAGTTCCTTTACCATTGATGGGTAAATTGAAAAATGAATTAAACAGACTTAATTGGAAATTATTAAGCCTGTGGAAGAACCAACCACTTGGGTGTCACCTATAGTGGTAGTCCGAAAAAATGATAATACTGTGCGGATTTGTTGTGACTACACAAAACTCAATAAGAGTGTTATGAGATCTCATTTCCCAATTCCTAAAGTTGAGACAACATTGGCTAACTTTAAAGGATCACAATTTTTTCCAAAATTAGATACTAATACTGGGTTTTATCAGATACGGATTAAGGAAAATTGTCAGGAGTTGACTACCTTCATAACACCTTTTGGTCGTTATAAATTCACTAGACTACCATTCGGTATATCATGTGCTCCTGAATATTTCAGTAATAAATTTTCAAAAATCCTAGCTGATGTCAACGGTGTTGTAATGCATGTAGATGATGTTTTAGTTCATGCGGAAACTAGGGAAAAACATGATCAAATTCTCAGAGAAGTTCTAAACAGGATTGAAAAGGAGGGTATAACACTAAATGAAAATAAATGTATATTTGGGGTAAAAATTGTTAGTTTTTTGGGCTATGTCATTTCCGGGAAAGGGGTGAGCATTGAGCCAGAAAAAATTTCTGCTATAGAAAAATTCCCTGAGCCAACTAACTAGAAGGAATTGATGCAGTGGTTAGGTATGGTTAATTTCGCAGGGCGTTTCATTCCTAATAAATCTGAGATTCTTAATCCTTTGAATACTTTGTTGAAAAATGACGTTCTGTTTGTATGGGGTCCTGTACAAAAACAAGCATTCCAGGTAATAATAAATTTATTGAAAAAATCTCCTTGCTTAGCATATTTTGATCCAGAAAAAAAATCACAGTCAGTGCAGATGCAAGTTCATATGGACTGGGAGCAGCATTAATGCAATCAGGATCTGAGGGTAATCAGGAGATAGTTGCGTATGCTTCACGTACCTTGTCAGTAACGGAGCGTAGGTATGCGCAGATAGAGCGAGAACTTTTAGCTTTGACGTGGGCTTGTGAGAAATTTCAAGAATACATATTAGGAGTGACTGTAACATTGGAAACAGATCATAAACCTCTAATACAAATTTTGACAAGTAAAAATCTGGATGATCTGACTCCAAGGCTGCAGCGGTTTCGTATAAGGTTGATGAGGTATGATTATGATATAATATACACTCCAGGTAAAAACTTAGTAGTTTCTGATGCGCTCAGTAGAAATCCTTTGCAGCATATGGAATCAGAAGAACTGGAAGCTGAGATTGAAGCACATGTTTCCTTAATCAGAGTAGGCTTACCTATTAAAGATGACTTTTTACAAGAAATTATTCAAGAACAACACAAAGATAAAATATGTAGCAAGTTAATGAATTATGTAACATCATTTTGGCCCACAAAAAATCAACTTCCTTCGGAGTTAATCCCATATTATCAATATAGACACGAAATTTCTTTTAATGAAGGATTTCTATTAAAAGGATCAAGAATTATTATTCCACCTGTTTTGCAACTTAAGGTACTGAATCAGGTGCATTCGGGACACCAAGGAATTTCTAAATGTAGGGAGAGGGCTAAAATGGCTGTTTGGTGGATTGGACTGTCCACGCAATTGGAAAATTTAATTAGAAATTGTCCTAACTGTGTAGAGGAAAGGGTAAATATTAAGGAAACATTATGTAAAGATCAATTGCCTATTAGAGCATGGCAAAAGGTTGCTATGGACTTATTCAAGTGCTCTACTTTGCTCAATCGAATGGAGGGGTAGAGGCTGCAGTAAAAGTAGCTAAATCATTGCTAAAGAAAAATGATGAAGATATATTCATGGCTGTGTTGTCTTATAGAACAACGCCATTTGAGAATGGGTTCAGTCCTACTGAGTTGTTAATGGCAAGGAAACTGCGAAGTCCTTTGCCCATTTTACTAAGTAAATTGAATGAAATAGTGGATCCAAAACCATCTATTAAAATTGAGCAAAGTAGGAAAAATCAACAGAAAATGAATTTTGACAAACGTCATAATACAAAAAATTTGTCAGATTTAAATAAAGGTGATACAGTTTGGGTGACAGATCTTAGAATATATCGAAATATTTTTGAAAAGTTAGAAGAACCTAGGTCATATACAGTCAAGACAGAAAGAGGACTTTTCAGGAGAAATAGGTGGTTCCTAATTCATGCACCATATAAAAGTTTTGATGAAATGAATAATGAAAAGTGCTATGTAAATCCACCTGAATCATTAAGGCCTTTACTTGATAATTCCCAAACTGAATTACTGTTCAAAAATGAATGTGAGGTTACTGAGGTTGTAACTCCTGTAAGTAGGGATTCTTTAAAAAGTGAAGTGAATGAATTTCCTTTAAAACAAGAGAGTGATGTGGTTTCAGCTCATAATGAAAATACTGATATAGTAAAAGAAAAAACTTTGAGTAGGCCAACGAGAAATGTATGTAAACCGGCCTGGATGGAAGATTATGTTAGATATTAGAAATTGTATCAGTTATTTGAGTTATTTAAATGGTACCGAGTTCTTGTACTTTTGAATATAAAAAAAGAGATGTTGTATCATCGCTATATGCTACATACTCTAAGGTTCAATTAATAATGTTTTATGTCATATGTCATATGTAAATGTCAGGATGTCTATGACGACTGACATTGGCGGGATTCCGGACCTAGAGAGAGAGAGAGTTTTTAGGGCTGGGTCGAGAATCAAAAGCTTTGTAATGTTGAACAGATTATTAAATAGTAATAAATCAACACGGTGATTTCTTTAATAATCATACAGATTTCAGTGCCAGGTTGTGTTGTCTCCCGACGCGTAGCGGAGGGAGACAAAAAACCGTGAGCTAAAATCTAATATTTTTCCCATGTATAATACACTATTTTTTTCTGTGACAGAAGAAAGGACGAATCAATATTGAGAAGATATTACATTATTTTGAAATCTGAAAATTATCGACGTGAAATTTTAAGTTTTTAACAGTAGGGACACCTGCGTTGTAGGCATCTTTATCATTCTCTTGAATAAGTAATCAAATATCTGATGTCACTTCAGTTAGTCTAATTCTGTGATTTGATTTCAAAAAATTGCGAATTCAGTGGTTGTTTAGTAATATACGTAACCGCGAAGTCGAATGGAAGATAAAAAAACTTGCAGTTCTTTCTCGGAGACGGTATTATTGACTCATTTTTCGGAACTATAGCACAACAAAAGCCATGAAAAGTGCATATACTATATGTGATATATATCCCGGAAAAAAGTAATTTATGAAAAGCGACATTTTATAACCTGCCAACAGAGATGAAATGCCAAACTTTTTTCCCGTCACAGAAAAAAGTTGATTTATAGGCATCGAAATCTGCTTGAGAAATTATAGACAATGCTAGATTTGTTTTTTGATCACCTTCGGGAAGGTTCGAAAGTTCGACACCAGAGGACACACACTTTATGATTTTCGCGAATTGTTATATAGTCTGAGTATACAGTGTGTTACAATTTGGTCCACCAAACCCCTGTACTTTCATAATCCTAGATTGATTTGATTTTTTTGTATAATATACTCAAAATTATCTACTTTGTCGAGCAAAAAAAAATACCAATCACAATAACTACACCGGAATTGAAGAAAAAAGATGAGGCATTTTTTTTACAATAATTTTGATAATGGCAATCGATTCAGACTAGTCACAAATACTCCTACATCAATTTTCAAAACAATGTAATGTTTAGGTGTAGCTTCGTGAAAAATGATAGGTCTTCAACGTATGGTAGTCATCAATATAATGTCAGCTAGTTCATATGACATACATTACCCAAATTATTTGTATAACATATTAGTCTGAAGGTAAGTTATTGGAATAATAGTTTATATAATAATAATAATAATCACCACACTACAACAATATACCATAAGGCGTTTTTTGTCAACGTTACAATTTTTGAATGATTGTATTTTTCAAGTCAGGTAGATCATCTGGCTACAAAGTTAGATAAATTACGAATAAAATCACTAGAAATTCAGATTTTTCATCAATTAATAACAAGTTAATTTTTGCATCTTCTCAATTTGTCACCACTCGCTCCACTAATTTTCAATATTCTATTACTCAGGTTGCAATATATTCGGATTCTAAAATGAACATAATACCGAGGGCAATACTAGCTGTCAAAATTGTTTGTCTGTAGTCAGATGATCTAACTAAATACAATCATGCCTGGTATCATTCGAATTTTTATAAGAATTATTATATACGGTGACTTGAAAAATACAATCATTAAAAAATTGTAATGTTGATAAAAAACACCCCTTATGATATATTGTTTTGAAAATTGATATAGGAGTATTTGTGACTAGTCCGAATCGATTGCCATTATCAAAATTATTGTAAAAAAATTGATAATCAGTTTTTTTCAATTTTGCCTCAGTTTTTCTGCACGCAATAAGGTAAGAAATTTTGATTGGCAATTTTTTTTGCTCGAAATAGTAGATAACTTTGAGTAGAATATTTTGAAAGAAGAACATTTTTCAAATCAAATTGTAACACACTGGATGTACCTAATATACTGGACCTTTTTCAGAACAACAGAAAAAATGGCCAATAACGACGCAGGACGCAGTGGAACGGACTACCAGCTGAAGGTTTTTAGACTGACCGCTCTACAGGCCATTTCATTACAAGATGAAAAATGGGAATTATCAACAGAGAATGAGAATGCAGGGAAATTTGATGATGTTGTTTTCGAAAGTGGAGATGGTGGAATTGATATTTTGATACAATGCAAACATAAAAAATTGAAATCAAAAGGAAAGAAAAAATCAAAGGATCCGGTACTTGATTGGAAAACCCTCCTTCCGGAATATTACAACTCCTATAAGATGAAAATCTGTAACTCATTCAAACGGAAGCTATTGATGATATTATGCTCAAATATTGGTCCTTCGGATGGTGATTTCCTAGAACCCATAAAGATTGCTATAATTCCAGGAAAGTACAAATCTTATCAATTCAAAAGCTCAAAAATTCAAGAGATTCAAGGAATATTGAATGCATTTGATGATCATTCACTGAAATTTTGTGGGGAAATTAGGTTTCTTCATATCGTCGATTCAGCAATAGAAGACGGTATTAAAAACAAACTAGAAGAAGCAAACAGAATTTTTGGTTTGAAATTTTCTGAACTTCATTTTAAAGAGAAAATAGACGAATTCTTTCAGGGAAAACTGCAAAAAGAAAGACGTATCAGAAAGTCGCACGTTATAGCTTTTTTATACGACTCGCGACGTCAGGATTACCTAGAAAAACTAGATTCATTCGAAACAGACTTCAGAGAATTATATGCCTTTGGTGAAAATAAAATAATCAATATTGTTTCAATGAATGATGATTTCTTGTACGTACTCAAGATTCATAGGAGCTTACTGAAACTCTACAGAAATGATCAACTTTTGTTCATCGACTCAAGTGTTGAAAGCGAATTTTTGGACAAAATAATAATATCTTTTGAACTCCCTGGATACTGCATACTTGTTATTTCTCTCAACAACTCCAATCATTTCCGTATTATTCAATCCCGTATAAATGATATAATAAATAAAAAACAATACAAGAAAGTCATAATTTTATCAAAAGATCCAATCCAAGATGATGTAATTAAGGATAATGTAATTGAGGATAGAATAAAATTTACTGATCTCACAGAAGCTTGCCAAACTGCCCTTCTGTCGAATAAAGTTAATTTTCAGGGAAAAGATCTGACTATCAAAGAGCTCGTGAATAATTCATTGAATGACATTGATTTAATAATAGCTCAGGATACTATTATCGACTTGATATATGGTAAAAATATCGAAATAGGTACAGCCATTAGAGACTTGGGTGAAATTGAGCAATATTACATAAAGAGGAAATTTGAACTCGGAAAAATGGTATTCACGGAACAAGATGTGTGCAATTTCCTTGATAAACCTGGAAAATTCTTTCTAATTTCAGATAGGGCAGGAATGGGAAAAACTACTATCTTAACTAAACTTGGGAGCTTGATTAAAGAGACATATCCCAGTTCCTTCCTCATAAGAGTCGATCTGAATGAGTTTACCAGCATATTCAAAGAATTTCGGAAAGCGAGTAAACAATCAATGAATTTAGAAGATATACTACAGTCAAAAGATAAGAATTATTTTAAAAATAGTTTAGAACAGAATGTTTTCTCAAATACAAAAAATATCACCCTGATGGTGGACGCTGTGGATGAAATAAGTCCGGACTACACTAGTCTAGTTAACAATTTTATGCTTCAAACGTCTGAACGTACAAATATTTCTAAAATATTTGTTACAACTCGTCCTCATTTAACGAGGAATTTGGAATCCTTCCTGGAAACTGAATCATATCAATTACTTCCATACTCAAATTTAGAACAAACTGATTTCCTGATGAAATACTGGAAGAAGAACCTCATAATAGATGATAATGAAAAGCTAACTAAATGTGAGATTTATGCAAAAACTTTGATAAGCAAACTAGAAGATTCGATAGGAAACACCTCTTGGAATTTCATAGGTATTCCACTTCAGACCAGAATGATTGCGGAAATATTTCAGGGCTCTGATGACAAGAAATACCAGTGGGTGTGTTGTAAAGATTTTTTACTATCTGAAAATGAGACCTTGGCATTACCCGATAGGATAAACATAACTGAATTATACGATATGTTTGTGGAGAAGAAATGGGATATCTTCATCGGAGATAAATGCGATCCTCAAGGAAATGTTAACCTCGAGAAGGCAGTTTCGAAACAATATGAAGACGCTAAAAAGGAGCATCAAAAACTTGCTGCTCGATTATTACTCAATGATCACCAATATTCATTGATGAATGTTTCCAGAACCGTTAATAATATCTCCAAGGAAACTATCATCGGAATGGGAATGTTACAAGAAATTGGACACGAGCTATTGTTTGTGCATCAAACATTCGCTGAATATTTTTTGGCTGAGGCAATGTGGGTACAATTGAAAGAAATTGAAAAATGCAATGAATTTCTGATATTCCTTCTTGAAGACGTGTTTATAAAATGGAGATATAAAAAAATCAGAGCTTTTTTTGAGGGCATCCTCACCAACGAATACTCCCAAATCCCAATGAAGGTTTTTGAAATTTGCGGTTCCACATTTGACTCTATATTTTGGCATGAATCCGAAAACATTAACACTTTATTTAGAGAAGGCCGCAAAAATATCGTGAAACTAATACTAGAGAAGAGTAAAAATAATAAATCTTTTCTTCATATCCATAATTATTCATCTGATTTAATTTTATTTGGAGAAGCCGTTGAATTTCAGGAAATAATAGAGTTCTTATTGGACAAGGGAGCAGATGTGAACGGAAGAGATAAACATGGTCGTACAATTCTACATTATGCAGCCGCGAAGTGCAAAATAGAATTAGTAAAATATCTTGTCAGTAGAGGGGCTACAATCCATGTTGCAGACAGAAATGGTAACACCCCATTCCACTTAAGTGTGATAGAGAATTCCACAGAGCTGTTCTCCTATTTTATCGAAAATGGTGCTGATGTAAAAACGAGAGCTGAAGGAGAAACTCCTCTACACTGTGCTGTGGAAAATAAAAATTTTGAAATGGTCGAAGAACTGACAAGAAGGGGTGTCAATATCCACGAGAGAAATTATTTTGGAGCCACAGCTCTGCACACCGCAGCAACCGTGGGCAAGGTCAATATACTGAAACATTTGTTGGAAGAAGGAGCCAGAGTGAATGTTCTGGCAAAAAAAAAAAATAGGAAAAACGATTTATTTCATCCACTAGGTGGAGATGAAGTTAATATCCGATATAAAGACGGTGAAACTCCTCTTCATAGGACAGCACGTCAGGGTCATTCAGATTGTTTGAAAATCTTAGTAGATAGTGGAGCTGATGTTAATATCCAGGATAACAAAGGTGAAACTCCTCTCCATTGGACAGCATATGGGGGTCATTCAGATTGTTTGAAAATCTTAGTAGATAGTGGAGCTGATGTCAATATCCAGGATAACATAGGTGAAACTCCTCTCCATTGTACAGCATATGGGGGTCATTCAGATTGTTTGAAAATCTTAGTAGATATTGGAGCTGATGTTAATATCCAGGATAACAAAGGCACTACTCCTCTCTATTGGACAGCACGTCGGGGTCATTCAGATTGTTCGAAAATCTTAGTAGATAGTGGAGCTGATGTTAATATCCAGGATAACAAAGGTCGTACTCTCCTCCATTTGGCAGTAGATCCGAAGGATATCCAGGATTACTACGATGAAACTCTTTTCAATTACGCACGCCAGGGTCATTCAGATTGTTTGAAAATCTTAGTGAATAGTGGAGCTGATGTTAATATCCAGGATAACAAAAGTAGTACTCCTCTCCATTGGGCAGCAGATCAGGGTCATTCAGATTGTTTGAAAATCTTAGTAGATAGTGGAGCTGATGTTAATATCCAGGATAACGAAGGTAGTACTCCTCTATATTCTGCAGCATTTCGGGGTCATTTGCATTGTTTGAAAATCTTAGTGGATAATGGAGCTGATGTTAATATCCCGAATATAAAAGGTAACACTCCTCTCCATTGGACAGCATATGAGGGTCATTTGGATTGTTTGAAAATCTTAGTGGATAGTGGAGCTGATGTTAATATCCAGAATAACGAAGGTAAAACTCCTCTATATGTTGCAGCATTTCGGGGTCATTTGAATTGGCTTAAAATCTTAGTGGATAATGGAGGTGATGTTAATATCCCGAATATAAAAGGTAACACTCCTCTCCATTGTGCAGCATATAGGGGTCATTTGGATTGTTTGAAACTCTTAGTGGATAGTGGAGGTGATGTTAATATCAAGAATAAACGAAGATATAGTGTATTAGATATTGCAATTCTTTCAAAACAAGAACATATAGTGAAATATATGCATGATAGACCAATTAATGGGAAATGGTGGAAAAAGTATATCGTCGGCTTACTATCAAAACCTCGTAAGTCCGAATTCTAGGGAATTTTAGGTTTGATCATTATCACCATCCACCATTTACGATATTCAGCGCACTCATCACCAAATCATCGTAGTCTATGTTTTTGGTAGCGACATCTATTAGATATAATTCAAACCTCCTAACTCTATTATGAGAGATTTTAAACTCAAAAACTCGTAAGTCTGCAAGAGAGGATAAGATTAGATTGCGCTTGTTGAGAAAGTATAAATCTATTAGTTGATTCATTATTTGAGCTGAAATCCATGTCAGACAACAAAATAAGTTTATGATGAACTATTTGGTCAATCTTCTAGAATATTTCTGCAGTGATGCGAAGGACAATCTTGTTTTGATTCTTCACGTGAACAGAGGTTCTGATCTGTATGTTATCTATTTAGTAGAGGACTTAAGAGCTTTTGAGAAGAAGTTATGGATATTTATATAATTTCATTCTGTTCATTCCAAATGAAGACATTGATTGACATATTTCGGTTCATTATTGTTGAACCCATATTTCTCATTGTTATCAAAACTGCCGCAGATTTGCTACATGCACTGTGAAGCAAGGCCAAAGTAAAAGACAATTTTCACTAGTAATTGATCGAAATCAATTCAGTCTGAATAATGTTCAATCATTTCATCATTTCCGAGAAGAATTGAATTTTTAATATTCAAGTATATATTTGCTTAACACAAATAATAACAATTTTATTTGACATACTTATCACTATTTTCAAGAATATATTCCTTTCGCAAAAGTATGTCTGATTCATTCGAGTAATATACAGGCCTATTCAAATTAGAGTCTATATATGGGGATTTCGATAACGGTGAGAGATAGAGGGGTGGTTGAATGGGGGCAAAGTTGCGTATTTCAATGGATAAAAAATCTAATATAGCTTCTTCAGTTCTGGAGTTGAACAGGAAAAATCGAAAACTGCTAATTCCTTTTTTTGTCTATCTTTTTATTTTACGAAGATTTTCTAAAGATTTTGCCACTTTGCCATCGTATTTGACCATTAAAAGTTGAGGGTGGCTCAATGACCGATGGACTGATAATGAATTATTGGCATTCAATTACTCCACTGTGTCGTAAGGGACTTTCCACGCTCTTTTCATGTACATAATGAGCCTATGCGTAGTTCAAAATTGTTGAATTTCAGAGCTCATTTAAACGTACCGCCATTTGGCGATACGTCGAATAAATGGTGACGTCAGTTTTTAAGCTGTTTCGTTATTGGTCGGATAATCTTCCATTCCCACTCATGAAGCAAGGTTGTCAAGTCACCAATTATAATCAAGTTATCAAAAAGATATTAGAGTCTTGCCACTCCTGTCGTTGAATAGAACACGATATAAACATAATAGGAGGAAGCCATGATATAATAGTTCATTCTTGACTTTCTCGAGGAACCAGCATGTCCAAATATTTTTATTAGTCCGAAATAAAAAAATATCATGAGAATGTCGAGGACTTGGCAACAATGTGCTGAATGCTGAGAACTGACAAGGCACCGCTCACAATACGTGTGCCGTGTTGTCACGTTCACCGATTAAAATGTACTCTATTTTGAATTATAATAATTATCATTTATACAAATGTATTATAAGCAATAAGCCACAGCACATGAGGAAACATTTTCAGACAATTGATATTTATTGATAATTAGGAATATCGCCAATACATGATTGAGATTTTATGAATTATTGAATAACTCACATTTCTGAAGTTCTCAATAGTATTTCAACATATGGCAACTGTGCTGGTCTGTCAGTCTGTCCCTACTTACAAAATCGTAACGTATGTTTTTACTCGCGGTAAATTACTAGCCGTATGAAAATTACCGTGGCATTATTATTGATTTCAGCACCTCAAAATCGACCGGAGAATTCTAAAAAAATATGAAATTGAGAAATATTTGAGTGATGATTCTATTCAAGGAATAAATAAAGTCCACTCGCCTATTCATACGATATCCTTTATATACATTTTATTAAGATATTTGGAAAGGCTACGAAAAGTTACTATGGCAAAGTGGCAAAATTTAAAAAAAAAAACTTCGTAAAATAAAAAGATATAGGCGAATGAAGAGTTCCGAAATTTTCCGATTTTTTCTGTATAACTCTAGAACTAAAGGATCTAGATCAGATTTTTTCATCCATATAAGTGTTCTCTGAAATACACAACTTTGCCCCCATTTAACCATCCCTCTATCTCTTACCGTTATCGAAATTCCAATGGATAATCTCGAATTTGAATAGTCCTGCACAAAAATGATGATGCACATATATTATACGAGGATGTAAAGGTTGGAACAAATTCTTTAAAAGCTTGATATGGCCGTTGGGGAAAAATTCACATGCACGTCGATTTTATTTTTCATTCGCGCATTTTTTGGTTTACTCATATTTTCGAAGAAGTCATCACTGTTCAAATCAAATATTTCTTTCAATCAAAAGACCAAATTTTGGTATAGAATTCATCAAGGTCGAGTAAATGTTTTTGAATTGATATTCATCATGCAGGACGTGGAAAGAAATTCTATATAAATTGAGAAAACCTGATCACGAATCTTGAACCCCTTGATTGGGTGAACGTATTGAAAAGGAATATTCTCAGATATAATTATGAACATAAAAAAATGGAAACCTATATTTATGAAGGAATACATTAAGAATTCGCATTCTCCATGTGATGAAAATATTATGTACATATCTTTATTTGAAGGAGAATGCAAATTCTCTACTTCAGAAGATTTTGTTTTCAAATTCTTATCGTGTGTGTTCAATAGATATAATTCAATGTTCGTGTTGGCATATAGCAAGGAAAGTAGCTGTTTTCTGTTGAATGGACTGATAGACCGAGAAAGAATTGATATTTTCATCACATGGAGAATGCGAATACGTTGAATAAATGGTGACGTCAGTTTTTATGCTGTTTCATTATTGGTCAGATAATCTTCCATTTCCAGCAAGGTTGTCAAGTCACCAATTATATTCAAGTTATAAAAAAGATCCAGATCCAGTCATAACTTTTTCGAGCAACCAACATGTCCAAATATTTCTCATTCCCCATAACAAAATAGCATGTAAGTAAATGTTGGAGACTTGGAAACATTGTGCTGAA